TCCGAAATGGCCGATTTTCGCAAACCCAAAAAATATATAGAAAAAGAGAGAGATATTAAAGCACACTTTAGGGGGATGCCGCTTTCTCAAAAGAAAAAAACTTAGATAGGCTGCAGTATACTAGGGAAAAGGGGAGGGGAAGGGTGGTTCAAGAATGCGGGAAAATGTCACAAAGGGGAATTCGCTCTACCAAACTACCAGCATATATATATATGTCTGTGTGTGTTTATCTGTGTGTGTGGAACGGGAAAAAAGAGGCCAAAGACTTCAACATTCATAGAAAGAGATTGCCGTTCCAGAATGCAAAAGTGAAAACTCTCTTGATGATATGGGTTGTAAATTTGTCATCTATCCCACACCATACCGATACTGCGGCGCGCACGTACACACACCACTCATAGCAATATACCAAAATATAGATATAGATATATATTCAGAATCCACTGTTCCAATCAGAGTATATTAATTTAATTAAATTCACAGCAAGTTTTAATCGACGAAACTTTGCATCCTAAACTTTAAAAAAAAAGAAGGGAATCTGTGAGAACCACTCTAATAATTCATGCAGAAACTAGAAAAATTCAAAAAGAACATACAAGCCGAAAAATTCTTAATTGAGTGACCTATAAACGGGCATCGATGACTAACTTTACCCATTCACCCCTTTTCCTAACTAAAAATGCCCTATCTATACACTTAAATTAATTTCAGTGGGCACGATAAATATAGGTTATATATTTGTATGAAGGAAAAAGTGAAAATAGGCCATCGAATCAAGTCACAGTGTTTTTCTATTTATCTTCCTCATTTGGTGAAATTGCTTTCATTATCCTAAACGCACCTTTTCGCTATCGCTCACCATGGATAACCTAACGTTATTGGGTGCTTACTGAACTCAATGCCGAAGTTTTTGCCATCGGGGTTATTTTTTTTTTTTAGTGCTGAAAATCTGAGTTCGAAGCAACGCTGGTAGAAATAGAAGGAAGGGGGGTGAATTTTTTTTTTGTAAGCCTTCAATACCAAAAGAATGCATAATCACATCTGATTACCTACACGACTCAATAAATGAAAACGTAAAGAACCCTAAAAGGGAAACAACTAGATTATAAAAAGGATCACCACTTGCACTCTACTCGGCCCACTTGGAACCTACTACCATTCCATGGAGAACAAGAACCAAGTAGAGCCTAACGCCTTCTCCGGAACACGCCTCAAGCGGATACTCTACCGAATACCCTGACCGGGCGCCGGAACCCCTTACGATTGAACCGAGCGGAGAACACAGGGGAAAAAGGCCTAACATAGCGAAAATGAATCTGGCGGTAGGTGCTGCTTATCCATACTCCCAGATGGTGCCTGAGCCACACACACCCACACCCACACACAGGGAGACCTATTGGTTTAATTTTCGAGAAATGACAAACAAAAGTAGTCTTGTTCCTTTTTGATGGCGACGAAAGGACCCGAAGAGGCGGCGCCGTCGCGGCGTTAGTTCACCCACCCGTCGTCAAAATCCTTGAGCAGCTGGACGGTGTCGAGGTTGTCGAACATCGGCTCGGTCGACAAGTTGCCGAAAATGTTGTCGGGGAAGCTAAAAAGACAGGCCGAGCCGGGCGTGGTGCCGGGGCCGCCCGCAGTCCCCGCCGAGGCCGGCGGGGACTGCGGGGACTGCGGCGTCGTCGGGACCGTCGCGGCCGCGTGGACGCCG